TTCATCCATATTTGAATTCATTTGCACCCAAACAATACTTATATCTAAAATTTTGCAAAAAGAATAATAATAACTATGATAATAACAATATCGATGATTATAATAATGATAATGATAATGATAATAAGGATATCATCAATGATAAGAATAATAACGATGATAAAGATAATAACAATAATAAATGTTATTATAACAACAGTTGCGAGCTGCTTTGGTCTTTCTTTATGAACGACAATCTATTTAATAATATCCGATACTTTTTATTAATTAAATTTGGAATCCTATTGAATAATGAAAGTTGAAAAAAGTCTTACCTGACGCAAAAAAACTTTAACAGGTATCTGGGAATTACCTTTCATACTCGAAAGATTATTAGGAAAGAATTTGAACATTGTAAATTCTGCAATTTTTCTTAAAAATTAACAGATAACCTTATTGTTAAATAAGAATTACATACCTAGTTAAGCATTTATTTATTTTGCGATTCCAAACAAAAATAAATGATTAATAATGATTAATACAAATATAGTTTATCTCAACCAAATTAACTCAGTACAGTCAAACATTAGTGTAAATTTTCAAATGCGTATGGAAATTAAGATAGCACTATGGTTTGTATTAAAAAACAAAAAAAAAGATGACTCTTCTATGAATATCCTAAATTTTAAATGAGGAATGTATGAAAGTTGAATGTTACAACCTTATATACTATTTGAAACTAAATTACTCCGTACCCTACATAATATGAGGTTAACAATAATTCAAAAACATTATTGGGCATGTTAATACTAATGGAAATACTACCATGTCTTGTTGGTTCAAAAGTCTTGATTTTTTTTTGATCAGTTTGCATTAACCTTGATAACACACAGTTCATACTTGACTAGCTGTTGACGCGAGTAAAAATAAACAATCAAAATATTATCGAAGTAAAATAAGGACGTAATAAAAGTTATAGGTATAAAAGACATCTTAGCCACGAAAGTGAACAAAACACTAGGAAGTACCAAAGTGAGGATGTAGTAGATTCTTTATTTATAAATATATATCAATATTTAATCATTTAAAAGAGAAAGAAAATATTTAATAAAAAATTCTATTAGTAATAAACTATTGTTCTATGAATATACTATATACTAACCTTGATAATTTACACCCTAGTGTTTTGACAAGTGAAAGACTGAGAAGTAATAGTTAATAAAGAATTTTATTGAAATGGAATGTATACATTATTTTATAAATAACTATATACTTACTTCCTGCTAATTTAACACATAGGAATAATTCTATTGACGATTAAAATATATCATTTATGTATAAACTATATACACACTTTCTGGTAATTTATTACATAAGTGAAGGACAGAATTATTTAATGAAAATCCATTGGCGATAGAATATGTATGGATCTCTATCATTTTTCTGACAACATTTCCTGGCAAACAAAATCCTGATGAAAATTAACTGAACTATAGCCAACCACGCTAACCTAATGTGTCGGATTGTTTTTCAGAGAATGATATACATGTTATGAATTATACATGTGACCGAAATATTTCAGCCATTTTGGCAACTTGACAAATGCTTAAAAGTAAAGGTATCAATAACTTTGTAAAGGTAGTAGAATTCAGTATCATATATGTTAAGCCAGAGCTGCAGAAACTTATGCAAGACCCTTTGATATTTCGGCTTTTTCAGAATTGATTTTCGGTAATCCATACTTAATATATGGCTGAAACTTCAAAGTTTATCCGAAAATTATTCTGAAAAAGCTAAAATACGAAAGGGTCTTGCATAAGTTTTTACGGCTCTGGCTTAACATATATGATGCTGAATTCTACTACCTTTACAAAGTTATTGATACCTTTACTTTTAAGCATTTGTCAAGTTGCTGAAATGGTTGAAATATTACAGTCACATGTATATTATGAATGAACTATATGCTTACCTCCTGGCAATTTGATAATATGTAAAAGAACTGGAAAATAATATTAATAGAGAATTCTAATGACAAATGTGTACATTATTTTATAAATAAACTATAGACTTACGCCTGGTAACTTAACATGTAAAAGAAAGAGCAAAAAAAGTAATAAATTCTATTGACGAAACCATATATTTACAGATTGGTAATTTACTGCGTAAGAGAAACAATGTAATGTTTAATCAAGAACTCTATTGGCGATTAAATGTGTACATTTTTTTATGAATAAACTACGTATATACAGTACTTATCTCCTGATAATTTATTACTTAAGTAAAAACAAAAAATATTTTGTACATACAGTATTGTATGAATAAACTCACATTTACACCGTTGGTTGCTTATAATACCAATATGTCCATTTATCTGTGTAGGTTATACTGCAAAAAAAATGAAAATAAATAAATAATAAAAATAAATGTTAATAAATAAATAATAAAAATAAATGTTAATAATAATAAAAAAATACTGGAAAAATATCAAAAGCAATATTTTCCCTATAGACTAGAATTTATACAATTATATTCATTTATATGATACGCAATAGTTCTTTTTGAGTTGCAAATTACATGTATAACTAATTAATACTTTAATATAATATATTTGTAAAGAAGCTTATGCTATATCCTGCTTATCGACTCAAGAGATTTCTAATTGGTAGTGATTTCACTATACCAATTGCTGTTGGAATTTTCAAATCGAGTGTATATTCATCACAATCTCGAATTGCAATTCGTGTATCTTGTCTATTATCAATAGCGATAATAACTGCCTTAACTGCCTTACGTACGAAGATTCCAAGCTTTTTAAGCATTCCCAAGTCATTTTTTAGTGTTACCAGATCAGTTGCGTTTAGATGTAATCTAAGTATCTCTTTCCATACATTACTGCTAATAAATGTAAATAATTCACTATCTAATGATTCATCCTCCCTGAAATTAATTATTTTAATTACTATCTTATTATACTTTATATGTATATATTTTAAACCTTTTACGTTTATATTGTCAATTTCAGATTCTAGGTAGCAGATACTAAATATGGACATACTTACCAATAATCATGGGATTCGATAAACTGGTCTGCATATTTTGAAATTGAATTGTGAAATTTACAGCGGTATGAGTCATACCAGATACCTACATCTTTAACTAATGCTCCCATATGGTAATCAGCTTTTGGAATTTTACACACTCGAGTGATTAACTCCTTGTATAACTCAGGTGTGTTATTCCTTGTACGCAGGAATAGTGCTTTGCACTCATCCTGTAAAAGGGTTCTCACATGCTAAAATTGAAGCACATACATATAAATCTCTACTACGTACTAATAATTGTGGCAGGTCAAAACGAAATCTTATTAAAATTTTACCTGGTTTAATTCTGGAACATTTGGCATAGAATTACAAGATTGACCAGTATTAAAGAACAACTTATCATTGTTATTAATATCTGACACTTGGGTCGTCATTGCATTTTGAATCATCGTAGCTAAATTTAGAATTCTTGGATGTTGTGCTACCTACAATGCCTTTTCGAATTCATTGTCTACTAAATATGTAAAATTATTAATATCGATATGTAGCTTGTTATGTATCAGGTTTAGAGACACCGATCACATAATAGAGGCATAAAATGTAGGTCATTTATATGACATTATGCAGTGAATTTTAAGCGAATAATATTTGCACCATACATCATGTGATAATTATGAATTTGAGTTACAAAAATTTACGAAAATAAAAAAAATTATTAATAAAAAAAAATATGTAGTGATAAATTGAAGTCAGAACAATATAAATATGTATAAGGTTCCTTATATAAACATCACACAATTTGAATTTATCACATCACACCACGATGCATTTCAAATCGCATAATCTGGGTCTCTAATCAGGTTATAATAACAAATAATTCTTACCTCCATTTATGCACGTATGTGAAGCTTCATTTATATACATTGATGTTGCTAGAGAAACCTCGTTTGCTGAATTTTTGGCTATAGGTTTCGAAAGTAATATCCTTTTAGGATTTGATACTTTATTGATTCCCACTTTAAAAGAATTAGAACTATTAACTAAACAACAAATAAGATGTAATTATAATTTTTTAAAATATATTAAGATTAATATGTAAAAATAATATATGCATATACCATTATTGATAGCATAATTTGGAGAGCCTAAAAGTTAATATAAATAAAATGGTTAATAATATGTAAGAATGACTTAAATCACATACTTAATTCATACCCAATGCCTCTTCACAATCATTATTTTCCTCTAAGTAGTATTCATCCTCTTTATCATCAACAATTTCCTCGACTCTCTGTTCATTTGTTGATTTTTGACGATGCTGCTCGACTATCTGTTTATTCGTCAATTGTTGACTATGCTTTTCGATTCTCTGTTCATTCATTGATTCTTTACTAAGCTGCTCGATTCTCAGTTCATTTGTCGATTCTTGACTAGG